GCAGGGAGCCCAATGTGGGACTTGATCCCAGTACCCTGGAATCATGACCTGAGCCGAAGGCAGATGCTTAACACCTGAGCCACCCAGGCGCCCAAAGCTGTTGTATTTTATATATTCTGGATATTAAGCTTTATCACATACATGATTTGCAAATATTTTTTCTCATTCTATAGGCTGCCTTTTCACTCTGTTGATTTTGTCCTTTGATGCAGTTTTAAATTTTGATATAGTTTAATTTACTTAATTTTACTTTTGTTGCCTGTACTGTTGATATCATATCCAAGAAATCATTGCCAAATCCAGTGTCATGAAGCTTTCTTCCTTTTCTTCTAAGAGTTTTATAGCTTTATTTATTTTTAAAAAATTTTTTTAAAGATTTATTTGAGAGAGTGAGTGGAGGTAGAAAAAGAGAGTGAGCACGAGAGTGGGTAAGGGGCAGAGGGGAGGGGAGAAGCAGACTCCCCGCTGAGCAGGGAACCCGATGCAGGGCTAGATCCCAGGACCCTGGGATCATGACCTGAGCCGAAGACAGATGCCTAACCGACTGAGCTACCCAGGTGCCGCAAGAGTTTTATAGGTGTAGCTCTTACATTTAGATTTTGATTCATTGAGTTAATTTTTATATATGATGTAAGGCATTTCGATATCCAGTTTTCCCAACAGCAGCTGTTGAAAAGACTGTCCTTTGCCCATTGGATGGTCTTTGTACCCTTATTGAAAATCATTGCCATAAACTTGAGGGTTTATTTCTGGGCTGTTTGTTCCATTGGTCTATATGTATGTCATTGTGCCAGAACCGCACTGTTTTGATAACTGTAGCTTTGTAATAAGTTTTGAAGTAAGGAAGTGTGAGACCTCCAGCTTTATTCTTTTTTTTTCAAGGTTGTTCTAGCCATCTGGGGGTTTCTTAAAATTACATTTGAATTTTAAGATGGGTTTTTCTATTTATGCGAAAAGCTCCACTGGGATTTTGGTAGGAATTGCACTGAATCTATAGATTACTTTGGGTAGTATTGACATCTTAACAATATTAAGTTTTCCAATCCATGAACATGGGATGTCTTTCCATTTATTTGTGTATTTAATTTTTTTTGGCTGTGTTTTGTAGTTTGGAGTATACAAGTCTTTCATCCTCCCTGGTTAAGTTTTTTTTTTTTTTTTTTTTTAAAGATTTTATTTATTGGGGTGCCTGGGTGGCTCAGTCAGTTAAGCGACTGCCTTCGGCTCAGGTCATGATCCTGGAGTCCCGGGATCTAGTCCCACATCGGGCTCCCTGCTCAGCGGGGAGTCTGCTTCTCCCTCTGACCCTCCTCCCTCTCCTGCTCTCTCTCTCTCATTCTCTCTCTCAAATAAATAAATAAAAATATTAAAAAAAAAATAAAGATTTTATTTATTTATTTGACAGAGAGACAGTGAAAGAGGGAACTCAAGCAGGGGGACTGGGAGAGGGAGAAGCAGGCTTCCCGCCGAGCAAGGAGCCTGATGTGGGGCTCGATCCCAGGACCCTGGGATCATGACCTGAGCTGAAGGCAGACCCTTAACCACTGAGCCACCCATGTGCCGCTCCCTGGTTAAATTTGTTCCTAAATATTTTATTCTTTTTGATGCTATTGTAAATGAAATTGTTCTCTTAATCTCCTTTTTGGATTGTTATTGTTAATGTAGAACTGCAGCTAATTTTTACATGTTACTTTTGTGTTTTGCAACTTTGTGGAATTCATTTATTAGTAAAAACTATTTTTCTTAACAAAGACATTCTTCACAAATTGCATGTTTTGTTGAGGCCCAATTTATCAAAAATTTTAGATGAGTATGGAACTTGTAATTAGGACTTAATTTTTTAAGTCCTGCTGAGCCACCCAGGCGCCCCGCCCCTTCAGTTTTATGTAGCATGGATTTCACCTTTCTTTCTTGTCCCAGCTTTCCTCTTCAAAGTTTTAAAATCAGTTCTTTCTGGCTTAAAATATGTCACATACACACTTGTATCTGTAAAACATATACATACACATGTATATGTATGTATATATGTGTGTATATACACACACACCTGTACATATACACTCCTTTGTTTTGGTTTTGTTATCCTCTGACTACTTTTTCATCAAGTTTCTTTTTTTTTTAATATTTTATTTACTTATTTGACAGAGCACAAATAAGCAGAGAGGCAGGTAGAGGCAGAGGGAGAAGCAGGCTTCCTGCTGAGCAGGATGCAGGGCTCATTCCCAGGACCCTGAGATCATGCCCTGAGCTGAAGGCAGATGCTTAACTGACTGAGCCACCCAGGCACCCCTCCTCAAGTTTCTTGATGTTAAAGTTTTCTTGATGTTAAAGTACCAGGTGTTCATTTGGGCCCAGCCTTCTATGTATATATGAGATTGGCTAAAACTAGATTTTTTGTGTGTATATTCTTTTTTTTTTTTTTTTAAGATTTTATTTATTTATTTGACAGAGACACAGTGAGAGAGGGAACACAAGCAGGGGGAGTGGGAGAGGGAGAAGCAGGTTTCCCGCTGAGCAGGGAGCCCGATGCGGGTCTCGATCCTAGGACCCTGGGATCATGACCTGAGCTGAAGGCAGACGTTTAACGACTGAGCCACCCAGGCGCCCCTGTGTGTATATTCTTGTAGACATGAATATGTGATCTTGTGGAAGGTCAGTCAAACAATAATTAAATTTTATGTAAAGCACTGTTGGCTAATTTGTTTGAGAGATATGAACCAAGGCACTTATTCCTAAAAAGATTGAAGATTTTGATATTTTGATAATGTATTAGGCCTCTTGATAATTGAAAAATTCATTTATTGGTACATATAACTGAGAATACTGAGTTTAAACATGGGTGGATCAAGGGACTCTAACATTGTCATTAGGGGAGTATTACTCTTCTGTTTGAGTCTGTTAGCTTTATATTCTGGCAAATTTTCCTTAAGCGTGGCAATTATAAGGGCGTCTGGCTGGCTTGGTCAGTGGAATGTGAGACTCTTGCTCTCAGGGTTGTGGGTTTGGGCCCCATATTGGGTTTAGAGATTACTTGAAAATAAAACCTTAAAAAAAAAGGATGGCAATTATAATTATCAGCAGTTGCAGGCTTACCTGATCAGTTTAGTCATGGTGGGAGGAGGGTAGGGAGCAGGGGTGTTTTTCTAATAGCTTCAACTAGAGTAGCATCAGTCACAGTCCTGAGATCAAATCCTTTTGGCTTAGTTTGGGTAACATGCTCAGAACCAATCACTGTGGAACAAATATAGAAGGATTGAATGCTCTGGGCCAAGTCTGTGTCATCTTAACTCCTAAAATTAGTGCTGCAGGTAGGATAGAGAGTTAGGATTGAGGTCAGCTCTGTATGAACCACATGAAGTAAAAGTAAAGGGGATGGAGGTTTCTCCAAAGGAAAATCAGAACTCTTTTGTTACTATAAACCAGGTAGAGAATATTCTCTGTGGTATAAAAATGTATATTTAATCACAATACTGCAATGGTAGATTCTCTGTGTGTCTTAATTGAGCAGTTCTCAAATATTTTTGCATATTTAATCCTTTGAGAAACTTTTAAACTTTTTTTTTTTTTTTTTAGAAGTGGGTAGAGGGAGGGGCAGAGGAAGAAGGAGAGAATCTTAAGCAGGCTCCATGCCCATCGTGGAGCTGCTGTGGGCTTGATCTCACGATCCTGAGATCATGAACTAAGCCGAAACCAGGAGTTGGATGCTTAACTGACTGAGCCACCCAGGTGGCCCAGGTAGCTTTTAAATATCTTGATGCCTTGGCTGTACGCAAGACCAATTAAATCAAAATTTCTAGGGGTAGTACTTATGCCTCTAGTTGTTTTATTAAGTTTCCAGTTTGATTTCAGTATAGAGCCAAGCTGCAGAATTGTATCATTATATCAGTGTTTCTCAGACTTTACGGTGGATTGAGATCACCTGGAGATCTTGTTTAGAATGCAGAGTGCTGGGCCCCACTCCCAAAGATTGTGATTCAGTAGATCTGAGGTGGGGCCTCAGACATTCCTAGGTGGCGCAATGCTAATAGGTCCTAGAACTGTACTTAAAGAGTATTACATTAGGGCGCCTGGGTGACTCAAGTGAGTTAAGTGTCTGCCTTCGGCTCAGGTCATGATCCCAGAGTCCTAGGATCTAGCCCTGCTTCGGGCTCCCTGCTCAGTGGGGAGTCTGCTTCTCCCTCTACCTTTCGCCCCTGCTCGTGATCTTTCTCTCTCAAATAAATAAATAAATTTCTTTTTTTTAAAAGAGCATTACATTAGCTTGTGAGCATCTTCCAAATTAGCCAGTTTTAAGTTCTTTAATTTGTAGATTACTATTAAGTCATTTTCTCACCTACTAGTCTATACAGGCTGTTTGGTAACTTATTTCTGTTTTGTGTGCTTATTCTTATGTTAGCATTTGCTGTTCTTGGTTCTACAGATACAAAGATAGCATGGATACAAGTATACACAGTTTCAAATTATTTTATTGTTGAATCAAGAAGATGGATTCTGACATCATAAAATCTTAATGTTTGTTCAGGAAATTTGTCTTTAACACAGTTATAGAAATTAACTTCTGTAACCCATTTATCTGCCCAGTTACCTTTTTACTTTAGTCCCCTTTTGTCCTTTAACCTCAGTGACTGTAGAGGATCAAAATTCAAAATGTAGCTCTGATTAATGTCTAATATGGGCCTTGAAATCATTTATAATTGTGTATTGGTCCTAACCATTGTTTATGTAATCAGAATAGACCAACTGCTTCCAGACACTCAACCTCTTTTGGACACAGTATTTATTCACTGAATTAATTGTAGGTGTTTCTTCCTACTGATGCTTTAAACATTTGTTTGCCTCTCCTTGTGAGAGTTGACTTGACAAATTATTTTGAATCTTATATTAGGTAAAAATGAAATCGTGTTATAAAATGAATGCACACCAAGTTAGTTTACTCATGAGTAGACATGAACCCTATGATGCTTAACATTTTCTTTTTATGCTGTTTTGTTTTAAAACAGGCTAATAGCACGTCAGCTTGCTAAAATCCATGCTATCCATGCACACAATGGCTGGATTCCCAAATCTAATCTATGGCTAAAGATGGGAAAATATTTCTCTCTCATTCCCACAGGATTTGCAGATGAAGACCTTAATAAAAGGTAAATTTACTTTTACATTTGAAATCGTTTTACCTTGTTTTGCTATAAAGTTTCAGAGATACCTTACAAGGTTTTTGTGTATATAATCTGGTTTGGTTGCTGTCTGCATTTGATTAAATTAGCACTGATTTATTTGACTCTCAGGTGGCACTACATTAATATAACTGTCTCTCTCCCCCAGCCAACTCAAAAACAAAACAGAACAACAACAAAAAACACCCTACAAAAGCCTGGGGTAGGGGTGAGGAGTGGGTAGAGGTGACCAGCCAAGAAACAAATATAGAACAATTATTTGGAAGTAAACATAATATAATGATTGCTATGAATGGTACTTTTTGCACAGAATGAGTTGGCCATGGAACCCTTTTTAAAAGAATTCTTTTCAAGCTGTTTTAAAATAGGCCTTGAGATTTGCATTGGGACAGTATAGTAATATTAGAGTGTGAAAAAGATTGGATTGTCTTAGTTTACTGAGACTATACAGGTCCTAGATAATGAGGTTGAAAATTCAATTACTGGAGTCTTACTCAGCTTTTGTAAAACTGACTCCCCAGGTTCCAAGTAAGGTATTTTATTATTTTTTATTAAAAAAATTGTAACCTGGGGCACCTGGGTGGCTCAGTCGTTAAGCGTCTGCCTTCAGCTCAGGTCATGATCCCAGGGTCCTGGGATCGAGCCCCGCATCAGGCTCCCTGCTCCATGGGGAGTCTGCTGTTCCCTCTCTTGCTGTGTCTCTCTCTGTCAAATAAATAAATGAAATCTTTAAAAAAAAAAAAAAATTGTAACTTAGCATTTAGAATCTAAATTATATGAACATGTTTTTATAGTGATTACTACTAGTACAAAAATTAGGAATTCTCTTTTCTCCTTTATATCTAAATCATACTCCCAACATGTATTCAGGAATTTTTCATTTTAAGAACAGTAGAGACAGGCAGGACCTATAGAGTTTTTCTTGTTTCTTTTTACTTATTATAATTCATTAGAGAAAAATAGCTGTATTGTTCTGTTGAGTTATTTCAGAGATTAGTTTGATTCACTCAGTGTATGTGTTTTTATTTGCAGGTAGTTTGTCAAACTTTGAATTTGATAGGGATAGTATACCCTTTTTTTTTTTTTTAAAGACTTTATTTATTTATTTGAGAGAGAGTGAGAGAGAGAAAGAGCACAAGAGGGGGGAGCGGGAGAGGGAGAAGCAGACTCCCCGCTGAGCAGGTAGCCCGACGCGGGACTCGATCCCGGGACTCCAGGATCATGACCTGAGCCGAAGGCAGTCGCTTAACCAACTGAGCCACCCAGGCGCCCGGGGATAGTATACCCTTTTAACTGGGATAGGCAAACATCTGTAAATGTGTCCAATGTGCTAAATACTCAAGAAATGACAGCAAAAAACCACAAAATCCTCTTTTGAAATAACTATTTTATTGAAAAAATTTAGTGAAAAATTTAATGAAATACATGGCAGTAGTTAATGTATGATTTTCTTGACTTTTTTTTTTTTTTTAAAGATTTTATTTACTTATTTGACAGAGAGACACAGTGAGAGAGGGGACACAAGCAGGGGGAGTGGGAGAGGTAGAAGCAGGCTTCTTGCCGAGCAACGAGCCTGATGTGGGGGCTCGATTCCAGGACCCTGGGATCATGACCTGAGCTGAAGGCAGATGCTTAACGACTGAGCCACCCAGGCACCCCTGATTTTCTTGATTTTTTAAGATAATGCAGAGTTCAGAGGCAGTATTGTATTGTGTGGGTTAAGAGTACAAGACTCTGGAGCCAGACTGCCTAGGATGAAGCCTTAATTCTGCCAGTTAACCGTTCTGCTGTGTAACCTTGGGCAAAAGTAAAATGGAAATAATAAGAGTAGTATATTTACCTTTTAGAGTTTTTTATGAGGGTTGAGTTATTATATACAAAGTATGTAGAACAGCGTGCAAAAAGCACCCTGCCCTAATAGATAATATACAACTAAAACATTAAAAACAATTAAAATATTAAAAATCTGGGCGCGCCTGGGTGGCTCAGTCGTTAAGCGTCTGCCTTCGGCTCAGGTTGTGGTCCCAGGGTCCTGGGATTGAGCCCCACATCGGGCTTTCCGCTCAGTAGGAAGCCTGCTTCTCCCTCTCCCACTCCCCCCCGCTTGTGTTCCCTCTCTCACTGTCTCTCTCTCTGTCAAATAAATAAAATTTAAAAAAATATATTAAAAATCTGTTTCATATTCTATTCCTTTTTGTTTGTATGTGATTGTAATTACCATGTTCAGTCCTTTCAGTTCTATCATTTCTATTCAGCTCTGTATCTTTTAAATAGACTTTTGAACCATAACACCATCTTGAAAAGAATGTATAAAGATTACTTTTGGTAGCTGTGTGTAGAGAAGAATACAGTAGTGGGAAAATACAGCAGCAACCACCTGAATAGGCAAATTCATTAAAGTTAAGTTCATTGATAGAGAATCTTTATTATATTATAAAATGGAAAAGTAAGGCTATGATTTGAGAGACTGTAGAGAAAGAATGAAGAAAGCTAGGCTTAAAGTGTTAAGGGAAGAGAAAGCATAAACAGCAATTTTGTAAGCCAGATGGTGCTATTGAGGAATGAGTGGTAGCACTCTATTTTGTTTCATTTTATTTTTATCAAATGAATATAAATATAGTGTAATAAATAGGACAGAAGAGTGTAGAATTAAAAAGCCATGATCTCCAATCCTGTTTGCCACTCTACCTACCATACTTCCCAGTCTCACTACTCTGAGACAATTTCTATAATAGATAATGGAGTATTCTATGATATGATTGTCAAAGATAATGTCTGATGATTATCATAGAATTGATTAGGTTTATCAATAGTAGATCATGTCTGTTGACTTCGATAGATAAATTTAGCTGACTTGTACTGCATTCACCCTTCAAAGCTTGAAATAGATGTTTTAGTTCTTTAATAAACTGTCTTTATAACTTAAATATACTTAAGCCTCTTTTTATTAAACTCTTTGTGTCTTGGAGATAAATGTAAAACATTTAGAATAGTGCTTAGTAAATGTTAGCTATTAAGTATATATATGACTTTCCTTCCCCAATTTTGTAATAATAGATTTTTTGCTTTTCTGTCCTGCATTTTAACTTGCTTAGTTTCATTTTATTCATATTCAGCTCATTAAGTAAAGATTTTCCTTTATTCCGACTTTTATAGTAATTGGCTTGTTTTAATTCAGGAGTCTATGCAATTGAATGAAAAGAATTTACTAAAAATAGATTTTAATCTTTAAACTTGAAAAAAGTCATTAATATAAACAATATATAACTTTTTTTTTTTTTTTTTTTTTAAACTAAAAGGTTCTTAAGTGATATCCCAAGCTCTCAGATTCTTCAGGAAGAAATGACTTGGATGAAGGAGATGCTTTCCAACCTGGGCTCACCTGTTGTGCTTTGCCATAATGACCTATTGTGTAAGAATATAATCTACAATGAGAAACAAGGTAGGTATCTGACCTTAGCAGTAAGTAAAGTTGATTTCTTTGATGTTCTTAATGGTCCTTTGATCTTTGTATCAGTAAATTTAATTCAGATATAAGGATTAAAAACATTCATGAAGTCTTTAAAGATTTTCTTTTATGTTATAAAGTCATGGTAACTGTGCTAAATTAGGAATATATATTCTTTATATATTTGTATAAAATATGTTTCTTAGAAAGTTTGGTTCTTGTTAAGAATTTTAAATGAAAAATGATAAAATGACTTTGTTTTTAAATTTAACTGTGAAACCTATTTGGTAATTCATGGTTTGAAAATGTACCTGCTTATAATGGGGGTTATTGAAAAACCAACTGACATTGCACTGCTCTTAATAAGTATAGAATTTTCTCAGTATTGGGAAGGACAGCAGTATTAGAAACAAATTTGTCTTCAGGTTTTCTATTACCTGTTTATTCTGATTTGTTCGATATTTTGATGCTAAGAGAGCCACAGGTGGAGGAAATGTTACTTGTACTGGTTGAAATTTATATCTATTAAAGTAGTAATCAAGAAGCTTTGGTAAATAGTTTTAACATTTTTTGAGGTATAGATAGTGATACATTTTGGTGAAATGTTTTCTGTGATCATATCTTGCTGTATTCAAATTCTCTGTTTCCATATTTAAGAGACATTGGTTGTATTATATTATTGGATAAAGTGGTTTGAGGTTTGGTTGCTAAAACATAGATGCCCCTTCAATGCTAAATTGAAATTTGAAAATATAATTTTGGTTGAAGGATTATTAATTCAAAAAGTTTGAAACTATGAAACTTGCATTTTAAAGGAAACCAGTTTTGAGTATAGTCATTATAGTTGGAAGATTATTTTCAATCAAGATTGTGTTTTTGTGAAGATACTAAAGCCAAACAATTCTGATTTAATGGTCATAATTCTCTGAAATTACTATCATGACCATTCTTAATAGATTTTAAGTTGAGACTGTTCTAATGCAAAGGCTGTTAATATTTGTAACTGACTTTAACTTGAAGAAAATCAACCAAAGAGCACTGTCAAGGACGGTAGACTGAAGCACATATTAGTAAAAACATGTTTGAGCACCTTTTATATCTTATATTTTAGTATGGATTAGAGATTCTATTTCTTAAAAATACATTGAGCTGACATCTTTATTTTGAATATTGTGAAGTCTTTGTGTGGAAGCATTTTTTTAAAAAAAACTTAAGGTGTATCCTAAACCATGGAGTACTTGACAGTGTCCTTTATTATTTATTGTCCATTTATCTTTTCTAATTGCTATGTATATATTACTTTATATACTAGTAACCAAATCTCAATGCCATTTGTGAGACAGAAGTATTAGTTATACATTAAAGTGATGTATTAGCTTTTTTAAGTTCAGAGCAAGACCAAATAACACATTCTATATAATGGAATTTCAAGTGAGGGACTTCATCTTACGTTTGAAGTGGACACTCAGCTTTATTTTTAACTGCAAGTTAATCAAAGAGAATCTGTTATTTCCTTTGGAATATATTTTAGCTTTTCATATTTTTATTTTATAAGTTTCTTTTGCATATTCATTTCACAGAGCAAACTTATAAAACTAAAATATAAGGGACCAAAAAAATCAGATTACTTTGTCTTAGGTATTAAAAAAATGCATTTTTACTTTTAATCAGTTGCCTATCTAAATTGTTTATCAGTGATATGAAAAGTTCTCATATTTTCAAACAAAATCTTTCTGTTTCAGTTTGACTCTTAAGATTTCAAGACTATCATTTGCTTATTTTACCAAGTTACCTAAATCATATTTTTGTGTCTAATTTTTCTTCCCTACACAGAAGAATGAATTTCACAGTTCAATAAATGTAACTATTTTGATATTTTTTTTAGAGTTTTCCTTTCTTCAAGAAGTCTATTGTGTACCATTTGTTTCTTCTTGTCTTTGTGGTTATATTTGTGTGTTATGGATATGTTCTGTTATTTTTCCTTACCAGTGGTTTTATAGTGTCTTTTAGGAAGGCAAGTTTGGACTTTATGGCATCCATTAAAAAAAAGAATCAATTGCTATGTGATTAGTTGATACATAGCATTAAGAAAATACGGTTGGAATGTTCATGTAAGAATCTAAAACTCATGAGAGTGTGGCAAGAGCTTTGTTCTGTGTATTATCTAACTTTCAAATTAGGAGCTAATGGTTTTGAAGTAATATAACTATGACATATTTGCCTTTAGTTATAAGGAGAAGATACCATTCCTTGTGCTTAAAAAATTGTAAACTCTATAAATTTAGTAAATTTAATGAACAAAAAGATTGTAGCATTAGTACTTACAGCTGCAATGTCAAGGAGGATAATTAAAATTAGAAATAGGGACTGCAAAAGTTCTTTACCTTAACTGGTTAACTTGTTACAGTATCTAAAAGCCAAGGGTGAAGTCTTTGGAGGTTAAAACAATTTCTACATAGAACAAGTGATTAAGCTGCATATTATATTCACAGATGTGTTTAATTTGTTATCACTTGTTAAGTCATTCGTGTGACTTGAGTTCAGGACTTCACTAATTTGTACCCATTTGAGTTAAAAATATGTAAACATAATAAGATGAAAGCTAAGGGATTGGCTTTAACATCATCAAGGTTAGTATCTCTCTGTAGTATGTTTCAGACCCTTCATTTCTCAGAAGTGCAGATTTTAGTTAAACTTCATGAATTTATACTGGATCAACTTGTAGTCTTCGTATGTAATTTTCAACCATAATAACTTAGATTTTGTTTATTGTCACCAGGTTAAACATTTCTAAGTCACTCTTTTTTTTTTTTTTTCCCTAAGTAACTCGTAAAAGCAGATGTATTAGAGCTTAGTTACAACTAAGAGAAGTTAGAAAGAATGTACATGTTGGAACCAGGCACACTTAGGTTCACATCCCTGCTTAATCACATACAGAAGTAGGTGATACTAGATAAATTATCTTTTTTTTTTTTTTAAAGATTTTATCGTTAAGTAATCTCTTACACTCAACGTGGGGCTTGAATTTACAACTGCGAGATCTAAAGTCACATGCCCCACTGATTGAGCCAGCCAGGCATCTGCATTTTATCTCTTTATTAAGTGTTTATATTTGATCCTGACTTTCTGCACCAGAATCACCCAGGGTACTTGGAAAAAAATGTAGGTTTTGGGGTCCCATCTAAGACTAACTGAACAAGAATTTCCGTAAATGGGCTTAGGAATCTGCATGTTTAACATGTTTCCATGCAGTGCTTATACTTTTTGATAATCTAGAACTTTTAATTTGCTTTATTTCTAACTTAGAGGTAATATCTACTTCAGATGGTTGCTGACAAAATTTTAGATCATGTATATAAAGTATATAGCATTGGAGTAGGTACTTAGCAGCTCACAGCTGCTGCTATTATAATGGGGTTGGCAAACTTTTTCTGTAAGGTGTAGATAGTATATATTTTAGGCTTTGTGTACAATATTACAGTCTCTGTTGCAACTGTTCAACTCTGTTGTAGCACAAAAACAGCCATAGATAATACATTAATAAATGTGTGTGACTGTGTTCCACACTATTTACAAAAGCACACAGTGGGCTGGATTTGGCCTGAGCATATATAGTTTGCCAACCCCTTTATTATGTTTGCAGGATGCATTTTACAATGTGCTTGATTCTGAAAAAGTGAAAATAGTTACTATAAGCCAGTGGTTGACTATGTCTTATAGCTAGGGGAATTATGGCTCATAGGTATGAGATGACAATTCAGTTTGTCTTTAAGTACAGCTTACAGATTTTATCTTAACTATAACTTGAGTGAGTAAAGTTTAAAAATGTATATATGTGTGTATGAATATATAAGTACATATTTATACACACACACATACACAAAGACTGTGAGCACCTGCAGTTTATAGGCTTCTGTACCTGGGAATGTTACAGGAGATGGTAGGCATCACAGGAAGAAATACTGCCTCTACCTGTTCTCACCATGTCAGTTGATAGGACACAGGAATATGGGAGAAGAGTGAGCTTCCTTTCTGAAGGTAATGTGGTAGCTGTCAAGATTTTTGAAAAGTTAGTGCCAGGAATTAGGTGGTTGGTAAACAGCGGCCCCATTTCCTTGCCTTCAGTGAAATGACATCTTAAAAAGGTAAGGAAAGAATACTTAATGATATGATGATAGAATTTATTACATAATAAGAGAACCGGAAGCAGTGTTCTTGCTTCCAGATCTGTGAGTCATCTTTTAAATTAATCATTAATTTAAAAAAGAATTTATATTAAGTAGAACAAATTGTAATATTGCTTATAGACTGACTTCAGTTCTAATATAATTTCAACTAACCCTTTAACTGCTGCCATGTTAGAAGTAATTGCTAAAGCTTTTGAGTATGTTTTCTCATGTCTTGGTGCTCTGTCTGAATGTTTATTGGTAGCTGTTTCATTTCTTTCTCTCTCCCCATTTCTTCATTAAAAGTTTATATAAAGATCTAATATAGAACTTTAAATTTCGGTAATGGCAGTCATTGATTATTTTCCCTGTCAGTAAAATACAAGATGCTGATTTTCAGCTATTTAAAGAAACACACATGAGTGGAAGAAAAAAGGAAGCTTTTTATGGGAATTACAGTGTAAACCAGGGTTTTCTTTAGAGTTTACACACTGTAAATAGAAAATGTGTGAGGCACCATTCTCAATCACTCAGTTGGCTCTAAATCTTACCCACTCTAGTTATTATTCAAAGATATTGTGGTTTGGTTGTTCCATTGATATTTTAATGACATAGTTTTTTTTGTTATTGTTGGTTTTGTTTTAAAAATTTAAGTAAATACAAATTTATTTTTGTATTTGGTGACCTGTATTTTATGAAGGATAGTCTTAACCTTGTTTTAACTTGTATTCTAGATTACTATTTAGCATCAAATAAAATATCCTTAAATCAGGTTATTAAAAGCTTAAATGGACTGTAAAAGCCTAAACTATTAACTAAACTCTTAAGGAAGAGCTGCCTAAAATAGTTACTAGTTTAGTGTTTTTTCTTTATTTACTCATATGTTCATTCCCACTATATGTTCAAGCATATACGTGGATAAGAATGTCAGAAATGCCATACTTTGTTTTTAGTGTTTAATGCTTATTCCTTCTTCCCTACCACCCATTTAAATAATGTGTGTTATCACTGTGTCTCAGCATTCTATGCAAAAACTTCCATTGATAAGCATTTTAATACTTACTGTGTGCTAGAGATTACTCTGTGGCTTGCATGATTAAAGATGAAAGGGACCTATTGTCCTTCCGGGAAGCCATATTACATGTAGTGGAGGAGTCAGATCATGAAACTGATATTTACATTCAGAATGATGAGTGCTGTGGTGAAGGTATACACAGGTACTACTTGACGCCAGAGTGAGGGATGAAGGGAAAGTTTCTCAGAGCAGAATATTCCCTTTCTCTGTATAAGAGAAAAAGCAATTTGCTAACAGTAGTGTAATTGTGGTTATTTTTTCTCTTTGTCCTCTTTCTGCCTTACCTAATGCTGCAGAGCAAGTAGAGTGACTCGAAAAGGTTTTCAAGTTCTCATATTGGTTATTTTGCTTTTTATTTTTATCCTTTTCTCCTTAACAACAAAATAAGGGGATCCAAACAAATGTAGCATATGAATTTTATAGGCTTAGTTAAATAAACTAATTTTTTGGGTTTTAAAGTACTTCAAAAATTGGCCGACTGTTTTCAACTACACTGAGATTTGAACAATTAAACTCAATAATGTGTGGATTTCATTTCTGTGAAGCTTTGCAGGAAATTAATGAAAAGAAAAATGTAGCTTTTGAAAAATCCAGGTTATAATTTTATTCATTAATCTTATGATTTACCCATTATGTGTAGTCAGTGTGCTAATTATATAAAGATAAATAATATATAGGCTTTGCCCTTAAAGCAGTGCTGCTTTACTCTTTTAGAGGTCAGGGATCCCTTGAGAATCTGGAAAATTGAGAATGTCCTCAGAAAATTAACATACACATAAAATTTTGTAAAAAATTTTAAGGAGTATCATTTTTTTTCCACCCTTGAAACCTCAATTAAAAATTCACGTCTTAAAGAATTAACAAGATAGTCATGCCATCTGAGCTATTAATTCTTAATAGTGATGTGGATGTTCCTCTAAACAATGGGAAATTTTAGAAATCAGAATTTAAATTTGTACAAGAAGAAAGTTCAGTGTATTTTCTGTTAGTAGGAAAGCATTTTCCAGTAATTTGATTTTTCTGGCACCCAAAATAAGTGAAGTAGGACTCTTTAATTTTATTTTGTTGCAGAAGATTAAATTTAAGGTTGAGTTCCACTTTGTTTGCAATAGTTTGAAAAAAGAATAGTTAATGCAGATTTTTTTTTTTTAAATTTTCCTTTTAAGCTTTGTGTCTTGTAAAATGTGAGTTTGCCAAATTTTCTTCATCTGCTACAGATTAGGTATGCCATTGTTGCTGCCATGTGGCGGCGCACCCCGTGCTTCTTAAACGCACTGACTGGAGGTTTATCGCATCACTTGTTCACATGCACGGAGCCTGGTAACAGCCTCATCTGTATCTTGTTAGCTTCATTTTCTTATTTTTTAAATTTCATTATTTATAAACTCAACATTGCATTTAAAAATAAAGGCTAGTTTTAATGAATTAATGCTACTACAAAAAGTCATTGCTAAAATTTTCATACTGAAACAGATTTTAACTTTTGTTAAAATGATCTATGCTTTATTTAAATTGTATTTACAAGCAGGCATTTTTACCTGCCATTTTAACTGTATTTGCCAAATTCTAAATATAATTTTGAAAATTGAAATTGAAGCTTTTGTTTATGTGGCAAAAGTAAGCTTCAGGACTGGGCTGTGTATTTTTATTGGCATGTAACAGTTAATATGAGCTCTACAAGAATTTGTGTTTAAAGAGTTAAAGTGATCAACAGCTACGATTTTAAAAAACTGTGTATTAAAACTGTTTTGGTTGGCTCAGTTGTGCAACCTGTTGAATTTTCTTGAATCCTGATTTCATAAGGCTGGTTGGATAGGTATATCCCAAATTATTGTGTTTATTAGTCTCTTATCTATTGACAATTTTGTTTAGAGAATTCATCTTAATCTTTTTAAACTGTCGTTTTTTTCCCTCCTAAAAGTAATGTTTATTGTAAATAATTTAAAATACAAGGGAAAAAAGGTCACTTGTCTATCACCTGTAATGAAACCAGTTGAAACGTATTGTTTTGGTTAATTTCCATTCATCTTTTCCCCCCTATGCATTATATGTTATTTCCTCTCTCTCCAGGCATACTATTTTAATAATTTGGATCACTGTGTTTACTATTTTATATCTTTTTTTCATATAACATCTGTAATTCTCCTGGTCATCAAATAATTTTTGAAAATGAAAATTTTTTTCATGGCTGCAGAGTATTTTATCATGATGGTGGTTTTCACCCTTTTATTCCCAGAACAAACTCTAAAACATGTTCTCACTTCCCATTCTGCAATTTAGTAAAGTGATTTGGTTAACTTTAAGACTGTGGGATAGTTTTTTGAATTCAAGACTATGATACTTGTGGTGGTTCAATTGCAGTGATTTATTGTATTCACCAGCATTTTAAAACCTTAAATATATTTTGTCAGTATGCATGTAGATTTTGATAACTGGGGTTTTGATACTCTGGAGATGCTTACTTAATTTACTCTAGACTTATTTATACAAGTTTAGAATTACATATTAAATGCAATTACATTAAAATTTTTTTTGCTTTTATGTAGAATATTCCATTTGCCATGATATTTTTGTGTCATGTAATTCTCTTTTTCTGAATTTGGATATGATCAACATATATTCCTAAATTAAACATATATATCTGTATCAGGATCAAAAGCTCTTTTATTTAGGAAATGCCAGTGTGTGTAGACCAGGAGTTTGTTTTGTTACTTCAGTTTGACGTTTAAAAGTGTAACTAGGCATTTGCTATGCATTTTCTAGATATAAGCTGCTTAGAACTGTTTTTACAGCCATCTCTGTTTGTGTATCCATTTTAACTGTATGGCCCCGTAAGCCTTTGAGTTTGTGATGCCTGGTGTTGCCAGTGACCCATTTTTATTTTTATTTTTTTAATGTCTCTAACTTTCTCTCTCTCTTAAACTTTTTCTCTTATCTCTCTTTTAAAAGACCTGTATCTTTGTTGAGACAAACCCTCTATAATACTTAGTACTCAAAAATGAATGTTCCTGAGCAGGAGTATGTTCCTTGGGCAGGTGGAACAGGATTGTCTTTGGAAAAAAAGGAATGAAATATGCATATATATTTAGCATTAGTTTAGAATAGGAATCTAGCTTACATAAAAATTTCTCAAATTAAAAAAAAGTTTACAATAAGCAATTTTACCTTTGTTCTTTTTAAAAGATAAAACAACCACCTTAATGCTGCTCAGGTATGCTATTGGAAATCTTATTTACGTAACATTGCAGGAAAATACGAGTTTATAGCAACCAATTTCTTAAATTAGGGATATTAAGTTGATCAAGTATCATAGCATAACTGCAGGGTTCACAGAATTCATCTTTTAAAGTTTATATTTGATTTGTATATGTAAAATAGCTTGTCAGTTTACTTTTGGAGTATCATACTTTGTTAAAATTGCACAGGTTATTAATTTCCAAAGATTAACTATTCATTTCTAATTAAACTTGAATTTTTAAGTAACTGATGCCCCCTTGTGGTGAAAGGGATATTTTGCTTTTGTTTGAATTTGGAGAATGATTATTTTGACTTTAATATAGTGGACATTAATGTTCACAAAGAAGCTGTTGACAATATGTAATTTGAATTTTGTAAAGCTCATTGCCATAAAATTCACAGCCTTACCCTGTATTGTCTCAGAAGTGCATGTAACCAAGCACATACAATGAGACAAAATTTTGGAAGCTATTTAATTACAAATAGCATAGGGATTTTCTGATCTTATATATGATTTCTTATGTCTTTGTTTTTGTGTCTCACATAGGTGATGTACAGTTCATTGATTATGAATATTCTGGATACAACTACCTGGCATATGATATTGGAAATCATTTCAATGAATTTGCAGGTAAAATCCAGGGCTTAACTAATGGAACAACATATATAACTTTGAAATGATACTTTTAGAATTGTTTTTTTTTTTTTGGTTTGTAGTTTTTCTCTAGAGAAGTTCACCTGGGAGTAGGAACAACATTTTTTAACCCTTTTCTGACCTTGTTCTTTGTTTTTCTTTATTACTGGAGGAAGGAGAAGAGATGACCCTTTCCTTAATTCCTTAAGGAAAATAAGAAAAGAAATAATACTTGTGGCTTAGAGTAAGACCTGATGTAGTACAAGGTGCTTTATAAATCTCTTCTCTTTTTTTTCCTCCACAAGAATCCTGTCACTTAGGTTATTCCCAGTTTACAAATGGAGAAAGTAACTTACCAAGATCACAGTAAAACACAGAGAACTAAGATTTAAAATTTTTTTTTTAATCATTTAAAAGCCTTTGTTATTTCCATTGTATACTTGAGCTTTAGGAATAAGAAGCTCAATAATTTGGTTTTTTTTTTGTCTTTGGCTATGAATAATTGAAAAGCATCCATTTTATCCCTGAAAATTAATCTTTTATCACTGTTAAGTATAAAAGCTTTAGGTTTATGTTAAAAGGAATTAATTTAAAATGCATTTTATGACTATATTTAGAAACACAAAATGTTCTAAATCTAAAGATTCCCCCTGGAAATTCCCCCTGGATGGCATATACTTAGTAGGAACTTTTCATTGCTGAATTTATATTTGTATAAATTCATGCATTTCTATATTTTCATATACTTCAGGTTATCAGACTGGGAAAAAGTTGGGGAGGATTTTAATTTACATGTTTTCAGTTATTTTCCTACACCAAACTTTTCATATACATGCTATATCCCCACACATGTGCTGTACATATTTTCACATATCTTTGGGAGGGAAAACAGCTGTGATTATGATGAGATATCACCATATCTGTGTTAGTATAATGGGTAGTCACTGCTGTCGATATGAAAGAGGAAACTCCAGTGATCCTAGTATGATTTTCTGTAGGAAAAAATTGAGCTAAAGCTTGCAAGTTAGGTAGAATTTGGGATGTGCAGATAGAACGAAAGGAAAGCACTGCAGGAAGGAGGAAGAAAATGTCAAGGTGAGTGTACCTGCTTGTAGGATATAAAACTGATGAAAGAGAATTTAGGGGTTGGGTTAAAAGCCCAGGGAAGTAAAGTTTGGATCAACTTATGCAGAATGTTGAGTGCTAGGCAAAATAGTATGAACTTTATTTTCTAGGTTAGCATTTTTCAAACTGCACATCTTAAAACCAGATTTGCAGGGTAATTATTTTAAAGCAAGGAATGGAAAAGAAAAGTAGAAAATATCAGAGTTGGAACGTATAGTTAGAGTACATATTGTTTTGTGGAATTTAATACTAGGAGAGTATATCAAGTTTCAATATAAAATGTATTTCTTACCCCGTGAGTAATGTTCAAAAATGTTTTTAGAGCTGTAGTTCTAGGAAATGCTCTAAATATTAGTGTGCATAAGAATTTCCTGAAGTGCTTATTAAAAGCACTTTTGATGTTTTGTGATGATGAAATGTATTGTGCTTTAGAATTTAAGTTGGAATACATTATGATTTTTTGGTTTATTTTAATAAATGCTATTAACATCTAGTTATTTTAGGATTTCTATAGGGATTTTTTTTTTTTTTTAAGATTTTATTTATTTGACAGACACAGCGAGAGAGGGGACACAAGCAGGGGGAGTGGGAGAGGGAGAAGCAGGCTTCCCGCGGAGCAGGGAGCCTGATGCGGGGCTCCATCCCAGGACCCTGGGACCATGACCTGAGCTGAAGGCAGACGCTTAACAACTGAGCCACCCAGGCGCCCCGTCCTCGAGGGATTATTAAATACATAGAAGATAATGTGTTTCTAAAATCTTTAGTGTACTTTTTTTTTCCATTTCAGGTGTGAGTGATGTAGACTATAGTCTCTATCCAGACAGGCAACTACAGGGCCAGTGGCTGCGTTCTTACCTTGAAGCCTACAAAGAATTTAAGGGCTTTGGGACTGAAGTTACTGAAAAGGAGGTGGAAATACTCTTCATTCAGGTCAATCAGTTTGCATTGGTGAGTTTAAATATAAACAATGGAAGATTTTTTTTTTTGGTAAGATTCTTAATATAATTTTATTTTTTTTAAAGATTTTATTTATTTATTTGAGAGAGAGAGAATGACAGAGAGCACGAGAGGAAAGAGGGTCAGAGGGAGAAGCAGACTCCCCGCTGAGCAGGGAGCCCGATGTGGGACTCGATCCCGGGACTCCAGGATCATGACCTGAGCTGACTTAGGTCGGCTTTACCAACTTTACTTACTTAACCAACTGAGCCACCCAGACGCCCCATTGATTCTTAATATAATTTTAAAAAGCTTTTAAATTTTCATCATCTTATGAAACAGTTTCCCATTTTGAATTTTGTGCATTTTTGTTCAAAATAAGGACAAAACACTGTTGTTTACAATTCCTCTGTTGTAATTCTTTTGAGGACAGAGATTTTGTTTCATTCACTTACATATCCCTAACCTCTAGAAAAACAGTGCCTACCCACATGGTAAGTGCCCAGGAATAATTTAATGAATGGATTCTAGTTAGAGTTAGGGTTAATTGTGAAACAGTTCTTTACATTATATCTATTCTCTTTATGTTACAAAAAACATATAATAAAAACAGATTTATGGGAAATGAGGTTTTCCACAGTACGCTTAATCATCACATCTTAAAATATTAGAAGTAGATTGGAAGAACCAGTAGAATTATGTTTTCATAACTTAACCAGTATTTTGTCTTGATCTTCTTTTGATAAGCAGTTATTTCCAGACCCACTCCTCTGTACTCTTAAGCACATTTGTTTTTTAAAAAATAGTTCATTTAAATTACCTTTTGAGAATGATGTGATGAATTAGAATGAGCTTTCAGCTAAGGTGTTACACAGTTAAATGGAATACTAGTTTGAAGTTATTTTAGCTACTTATTTTTAGTTTTAATATAATTTGGTACAGTTGATATGGGGAATATTTGCAGTGTTGTCTTTACAAATAGACCCCGTTGATGGCTCATGGGTGTACTGTTTCCATTGTCTTAAGAGCAGCGTTTTCCCAGAGCCATTCAGAATACATCTCAAGTAAGAGGGTGTGCTGAAACTTGACTCATCTTCTGTTCTGGTATCTATTTTCAGTAGAACTGTTGACTAAATGGCATGCTCTCCAGCTGGTCCTAGGATGCCTGCTGTTTCTATATATTCTATTTAAGCATGATTTTAAAGTAGGGAATGTAGGGTTTTTTCTCACAAGGTCACTTAATGAGCTTTAGAATCACCCTAATACTTCTGTTTAGCCAGTTTCTATATTAACATGGGGAATATTATTGTTGCTATAATTTATATTTTTTATGCACCCATTCACATAAATTATTCCTAATGCATTGAGTTTATTAATTTCCACAAAAAGTCCACATACCTTATAAATTCTTAGTCAAACAGAACCACTATTTACTATTAGAGAGCTAACTTGGGTTCCTTGTAAACTTTTGATGGTAAAAATTCAACAAATTTGGATACTGTGGTTGTATTATATATACGTGGTACTAAAAAATAATTCTGGATTGATTATCAAGTTGTTTATAAATATCCGTTAATCAGATATCTAGTAATTATTATTACTTTGGGTCATGTGGATTGGAGGCTTAAAAGAAGAATAAAACAGTGCATTTCTTCAAAGTACTTATAATTAGGAAGGGCAAATAATAGTGTACAAAATACATCTTTTTGGGTAACATTTAACGCCCATCCCTATTTAAAATTCTTAGCAAATTAGAATTGGAGGGAAACTTACTTAACCTGATTTAAAAAATAACAGTATTTAACCTGATTTTTTAAAAAAGAATATATGAAATGTACAGCAAACATATTCATGAAATGTCACATGTTCAGGAGAAGGTCTTATAGAAAAAGAATTAGAGGATGGTTGAGACAAAGAACTTCAGTACCTTTTTAATAGTGCTCATTTAGCATGTCTTCAATTTACATAATCTTTAGTTTTCATATAATCATTACACAGTAGGTTTATGCTCTGAGATTCTCATACCAGTTTCCAGTTTTTCCCCATTAAGAAACCATTGAGAACCAGTTATGAAGCCAAGTTTTGTTTGAATTCCTCCTCTTATTTAAATTGTGCTGGAATCCTCTCTCTTGAGGTGGGTTACTTTCTTGCATCAGGGCCTCTTTTGCTATCTTCAGAATAGAAAGAATATAGCAAAATTTAGATGAATGCTCATATTTGGCTTCAGCCCCTCTTACTGAGATTACTAATTTTCCTGAGATTTGATGTATCTGCCTTTCTTTTTCAAGATTGTTTTTGTAGGTTTTTTTAAGCCAGTTTATGTAATTCTCTTACCAACTCTTAATTTCATCCCACAGTCATTTAGTAAATGTCTGTCACAGTCTCAAGTGTTTGAATGAATAAATAATTGGGAAGGTAGGGGGAAATAAAAGCAAACCCTCAATCTTTTTTCTTTATCATCTTTCATGAATTCTTCAGACCACTGCAGTCTTGTCTTCTGCTCTCACTATTTAAAAAAAAAAAAAAAAGTTCATGTCAGGGTTACCAATAATGACATAATTACTAAGTCCAGTTTAGACTTTATCTTTTTTTTTTAAACTTTGTCTTTATCTTACTTGCTCTGCCCATATCATTTAACAGTATTTACCATTGATTTTTAGAATTTTCTCTTTCATTGCCTTTTGTGATAACCATTCTTCCTTGGTTCTCCTCATTTGTGTTTTCCTACTCAGTTTCCTTCCTTGACTCTTTTTTTTCTTCCTCTTTTCCCAATCTTTTTATAATACTGGTGTTCCCTAGTGTCCTGAATTTGGGCTCTACCCTCTCCTTTCACTTTATATACTTTCATTGGGTGATCTAATTCCAAGACTTTTTTTTTTTAAGATTTTTTTTTTTTATTCATTTGAGAGAGAGCGAGTGAGGGCAGGAGCAGGGGGAGGGTCATTGGGAGAGGAAGAAGCAGACTTCCCGTTAAGCAGGGAGCCTGACTTGGAGCTCGATCCCAGCACCCTGAGATCATGACCTGAGTCGAAGGCAGATGCTTAACCGACTGAGCCACCCAGGTGCCCCTAATTCCATGACTTTTACTGTCCTTTCTGTTAATGATCCCAAGTTGAATTGCTTTCCTGTGCCAGTCTCTCGATTAGTATCTGTCTCTATCTGGTGTTCCTTTTGTAATTGAGCACAGTATGTCCAAACTTGAATTTTATTTCATGCACCCTGTCCTCTGTCCCATTATTTATTCTTTATTCTGTCTTGGTTTAATTAAAATATCATCTGAATTCTGTTTTCTGAAACCAGGAAAGAAGGAATTTTCTTTTATGTCTTGAGTTCCTCTTCATTCTCACATTTTCTCTATTTCCAAGTTCTGTTACTCCCAGTTCCTAAGATTCTCTCAGTTCTAACCCTTTCTCCTTAATTGTATGATCTTTGACTGAGCTCTTAATCTCTCACCTCTGTTAGCCTTTGCCGATCTCTGCCTCCAGGTTTTTTCTGTCTCTATTTCATCCTTTACATTTAAAAAGTTATCTTTTTAATAACTAGATCTAATTCATGAATCTAATTTTATCACGTTCATACTTTATGGTTTCCTGTGACCTATAGAGTGAAATCCAAATGATAACATTCTTCACATTCTTATTTCCCATTTTCCACCTTCCATTTCTGCTCTAGCAGAGTCATCTTGTTTTCTCACGATCCATGATGTTTGAAGCCTATATGCTTTTTTATAGTTATTTCTTCCTACTTAGACTGCCCTTTTCCCTGCATCCTCTGACAAGTTCTTCTTGTTCCATTTGGACATATCTTAAATACTGTTTCCTCCTTTGGGACTCTTCCTTCCTTGATCACTTGTCACGAAGAGAGCATATACATTATAAAACTGAAAACTGATTTGATAAGTGGAGAAAAGAGGGTTTTTTAAGGCAGGTTGGAAAGGGGCAGAAGGGGAGAGGGAGAGAATCCCAGGTAGACTCCACTACTAGTGAGCATGGAACCTGACTGACGCAGGGCTCCATCCCTGACCCTGAGATTATGACCTGAGCCAAGTGGGATGCTCAACTGACTTAGCCACCCAGGTGCCCTGGAAAATGGCTGGTTAAATGTTTGTTTATTGCTGAGGGCATGAGCAGACTTGTAAATATTAAAAGACTTCACGTGTCATTGTTTACTGTAACTAATATTAAGATGGTAAACAAAAGTAGGTATTTGTATAAAATCAACTAGAGTATACATAATGGGTTTTTAAAGCTGTTCAGTCTTTAGACACATTATTTTCAGACTTTGGATTATTTCTAAGTGAAATCTTAGAGTTTTTAGGGGTTTTTCAGAAAGGATACATTTTAGTTATTTGTTCATCCTATAAAGCCTTGAATTTTTCTTTGCAACAGAGATAAGTAGCCTAGAAATTAAAATGCCCTTTGATAGACTTACATATCTATAAATTCCAAATCTGAAAGAAATAGGTAAATCACACAGAACATTACATTTTTTTATTTGGACTTAAATATTCTCTTTGCCATTTTGGGGAATACAGATGATGAATGGACTCTTTCCTGCATTTCCTTTTCATCCATTTAAGACTCTAATTTTACATATAAATTTTTCATTTTTCACCCTGTAAAAGGTGTTACCTGCCAAAATGAGATTTTTGTAAAGTTTTATGTATAATTGTTCTCTAGTGTAGAATCATTTATTTATATGAATGAATGCTGCCTGAGGTGGAGGGAAGAGCTGGTTTGATGTTATTTTTAGGTGTAGAATTTCCCATTTTCAGTCTTTCCTACTTACAGAATTAGCCTAATAGGAAGAGATTACAGTAGCATCCACAGATGATTTTTATATCACTTAAAATATACCTAGGTGATTTAGACTAGTGGATCTCAAACTTTTTGGTTTCAGGATTCCCCCTTTACACTTCAAGATTTTTTTTTAAGACCTCTATGAGCTTTTGTTTGTTTAGGTTAATTGTCAAGATTTATCATATTGAAAATTAAAACAAATTCAAAATATTAAGTAAATATTTTTTAAAATAATAAACTTATAGGGGTGCCTGGGTGGCACAGTCCGTTAAGCATTTGACTCTTGGTTTTGGTTCAGGTTGTGATATCAGGGTTGTGGGATTGAGCCCTGCATTGGGCTCTGTGCTCAGCATGGAATCTACTTGAGATTCTCTCTGCCCTCTCTCTTTACCCCTCTTGCTTGTTCCCCCCCGCTGAAATAAATGAGGTAACTATTTTCCAAAACAAGAACAATTAGAAGAATGGCATTATTTAAACTTTTGCAAATCTCTGTAATATCTGGCTTAATAAAAGCTAGATTCTTTTTTTTTTTTTTTTAAAGATTTTATTTATTTATTTGACAGAGAGAGACACAGCGAGAGAGGGAACACAAGCAGGGGGAGTGGGAGAGGGAGAAGCAGGCTCCCCGCAGAGCAGGGAGCCCGAAGCGGGACTCGATCCCAGGACCCTGGGATCATGACCTGAGCCGAAGACAGTCGCTTAACCAGCTGAGCCACCCAGGCGCCTAAAAGCTAGATTCTTATATCTACTTTTGCATTTCATCTGTTGCAATATATTGGTTTGGTTAAAGTATATAAGGAAAGTTCTGTTTCACACATGTGTTTTTGGAAGAGATGAATATCACATCTTCAATTTACAGATGGGGAAACAAAGGTACAGATGGGTTAATTAAATTGCTCAAAGCCATACAGCTAGTAATTTTTGCAGTTTGACTCCAGAGCTCAGCTTTTTTTTTCCCTAAGTTAACCATTAGGTTTCATGTACATGTACTTTAGGTGTTTACTCTTTACAACATTGTTTATTCTTTCTGTATTTGATAGGAAGTTATATATTCTGATAAGTGATTTTTTGAGGAAGTTAAAAACAAAATGCAGTAGTAATTTTTAAATAGATATTTTTATAGCAACATACTCTAAAGAGATCTTTAGAGGGTAAAATTTTTTTTTATATGTATAATTTCCATTAATCTTTAAAACAATCCTGTGGGGAATACAGAATGGCTAATAGATTCTCATCTTTTTTTTTTTTTTTAAAGATTTTATTTATTTATTTGACAAGAGACACAATGAGAGAGGGAACACCAGGAGGGGGAGTGGGAAAGGGAGAAGCAGGCTTCCTGCAGAGCAGGGAGCCCGATGCAGGGTTTGATCCCAGGACCCTGAGATCACGACCTGAGCCGAAGGCACATGCTTAACAGACTGAGCCACCCTGGCGCCCCTAGTTTCTCATCTTTTAAGTGGTGATTTGGACATTAAAAATTTGTGACTTATTGAAGGTTGCAAAAGGAGTTAGTGACAGGACCTGGACTTGAACCCTTACAGTTCTCAATTCAAATTAAGAATCCTTTCTCATACACCGTGTTGTTTTACCTACCAAATTGGGTTGTTTGGTTGTTTTAATACCAAGATCACAGCTGTGGAGTAATTTTTTTAGATACCTTTTGTTGTTACTATAGGGAATTTAGCTGAAATAAGACCCTTTAAGACTTTTTTTTTCTAGTTGTAGTATTTCTAGTTGGAATAGACTACTTCGTGGGAAGTGAAGTTTTATGATTATCAGAATCTTAAAATATTTTTGTGTTTAACTGGAAATAGATTGTAAAGCACACACAAGTAGTTATTTTACAGTTCCTACACATTCATCTGTTTTTCTCTTAAAGTCTTAAGACCCATTTTTCTCTGACATAAGTAAAATCATGTTACTTTATGTCGTGGTTGGTTATGCAGAATTGTTGGGCCAATAAAAATTGTTTTCAGATATTATGTCTAGAACATTTTTCATATTTAAATATATCTTTTGTTTTTGAGATTTGGACTTACTTTTTTGTTTATATTTTTATGTCAAAAAACAAAGTCTTTTGGTAATTATGTATTTTATAGGAAAGCCTGTTAGCAATTATAACCAACATCTATTAGTGCTTATGCCGAACTCTGTCTCCACAAAGCAGTTACAGGAATTGGGCTCTTATGTTTTAAGCAGTTATAATATATTCTAACCTCTTTTGGTGTGGACAGAAGTGATCGGTAGCCATCCAGGTAACTGCACACTTTAGTATTACCTGTGTTTTAAATATTTTATATAAAAACATCAAGACAGTAGTTCTGCATGGAGTTGGTGAAAAGGGGAAATATTAATTATTTGACAATTGTTTTATAGAGAAATATATTATCATAATTCTTGATTTTCCTTCTCTCCTTTTTAGGCTTCTCATTTCTTTTGGGGATTGTGGGCTTTGATTCAAGCCAAATACTCCACTATTGATTTTGATTTCCTTGGGTAAGTTTAATTGTACTATAATGCATACATTTGTTCTTCCTTTTTTTTCTCTTTTGATGTACACGTAGAACCCATAGGGTACACTGTAGTTATTATTTTTAGTCAAATGTTATAAGGGTTGCATACATTTAAATAATTGGTCTGTAAGGAAATCCTGGTATCATCTGTTAAATACTGTATTAGGAAAGTGTCCAGTAGGTGGTGCAATAAACTAAAAATATGTCCTTTGAAAAATCCTAAAACTTTAAAAAAAAAAAGTTTAGAAGGGTGGGTGGAAAATGAAGGAAGGATTTTTTCATTTTTTATTAATTCTGTTATTCATTTCTCACTAGGTATGCAATTGTTCGTTTTAACCAATACTTTAAAATGAAGCCTGAAGTTACTGCATTAAAAGTGCCTGAGTAAAGAAGAGATTTGATTATTCTCAAGTAGCTGAACAATGCTTGTGTATCTTTTCTTAAGAAATTTTGAAAAGCCAGTATTTGTTAAAATTCTGTTGTTTAATTTGGTTATCTTGCTTTACAAATTATGCCTCTAAACAACCAATCTATTTTTTAAATAGACTGAATGATGTCAAGAAGTATACCTTACTGCTATCAGTATGTGGTGGATTAGAAGTTTGTTAAATCTGCAGAAAGGTATAAATATGTCAGTTTAATCCTTTCTTTGATAATTTAATCTATGTTATATGTGAATTATTTATTATAAATTTAACATAATTCTGTGACTGCTTTCATCTGTTTCATCTGTTGGTTGAGTGTAAGCAATGAAAATGTTCCTGAGAAAATTTTTTTTAAAGTTTTACTTTAATAATATTAATTTTAGCAAAAAATCTAGGTGTTCAGTGTAACCTTTTTATCTTGATACACTATAAGAAATATGAATCATTCACTCTTGAAATGCCAGATACTGGTATAGATAGCTTAGGGTGTTCATAGAAAAGTATCTGTGTATGAGGGTAAACTACATTTACTGTCTACATTTAGTGGTACATCTTTTTGAATTGAATATTGGAAAGTGTTTTTCTCGGGGGTGGGGATATATCTTAAAATTAAATTCTCCTTTCCATACATAGTCTGGCAGTATAAATATTAATATTTACCTATAATCCTGGAATAGATATACAATTTTATGTTACCAAAATCTGCATTAAATAATGTTTTCACATACTAAATATGGTCATTTAAGTTGCTAGTTTGTTCTTAAAATTTGATAATATCACATTTTTTTAAACCAAAAATTTTGTTTTACTTATTGAAATATTCTGTGTTTTTGTCTGTTTAGCTAGTAGAACAAATGCTAATTTTTGAAACAAAGAATGATTATCATACTTGGGAACAAGAAAATAGCATTTAGATAGATTCTTTTTTACCTTTCAAGATTCATTCCTTAAGACTTCGTTTCATGTTTTAGTTTGGCTCCATGTCTTTAGAGTGATAGCAAATGATTACGTGATGTATGTAGGTTCAGAGAAATAAATTAAAAGCAGTTAAAAGAAATAAGGAACATTTAGGACATTGATCTGATACACTTAAAATCTAAGAAAATGTGAATTAAACAGGAATATTCATGGTAGGGGGGCTTCTGTTCTAGTTTCTCTTGATTTTGTTTGTGTATTTTTTATTTTGTTTGGGAATGAAAGGGTGGCAGTTGAAGGAAGTTAGATCTTTGCAATAAGTAGGCTTCATGTTTTGAAGACTGCTTGCTGCTTTGTGGAGTTGAGCAGTCATGGTTAACTTTACTTAGAAAATTAGTCTGACAAGCTTTGCACTTTGGTCACATAAGTGCCCATGTACAAAGTTGACTTAATGAATCTGCATATTCAGAATATGCAACTACAAATATATCCTCTGAGAAATCTTCTGGGGAGTTTGATGTATTATTCCAAGTGACTTATATTCTCAGATAAGTGCTTTAAAATACTTGGATTATCTCAAGATGTTTAAAGCTAATAAAGTAAGTAGAAACACTTAAAGGCCATTTTAAATGGTAAATTCTAGTTACATAAATAGAATCTTAAAATCTGCTTGTGTCTGTAACAGTGTTAGACTAAGATTTGTTTTCTACCTCCCCAATGTTACAAATGTTCACTTCTGTTTTTATAAACCATATTACTCTAGGATCAATAGAATTTTACCTAATTGACTGAATGGAACCAATTAAACAATTAATAGCTTTTTACATAATGTTAGAGTGAGCTTGAAGAATTGTTTTTGGTGGAATTTTCATCTGTGGTTGGAACATTTTCTTAGGACAATGAATAATATGTAATAGCCTTGATTTTTTTTTTTTTTTTCTTTCTAACTTTACTTAAAGTGCAACAGTATATATCTTGGAGAACTATGGGAGGAGAGAAGATCAGTTTTCTACCTTACTCCATATTCTTCCAACTACTTTGAGTAGAGATTCACTGAGCCTTTGCTGGTAGATTGTGCATAGCTGCTAGCTGTGATACTCAGAGAGGTTCATATAGAACTGAATGTAAAGGTGAAGAAAGGCTCTCACTTCAGCCCTAGGAGTATGCAGTGGACGTGGAAACAAAATGAGACATTTAAGATATTTTCCCCACTCTGTGGCTAGATTTTGGGTGTCATGATGCTCCCACATCCTGTACAGGTTTTTGGGATCATGCTGCAGACTAAGAGGATTCAAAATTGCTTCCCTTTTTATTAACCATTTAAAGGATTCTGAAGGAAAAACATCCCTCTAAAATTTGTCCTTTGGCTTGCTGAGATAGTCTGTTGCCTTTTTATGTTAAGCTAAGGAACTTGAATGCCTTACCTAATAACTCAGCTGGTAGTAAGTTCATTTTGTAAATAGCGAAAATGGTTGTTAGAGAAGTGGCATTCATGTATACTCATTGTTGTTAGTCAATAGACCATAGTGGCCTGGATGCTTTAACAAGCAAAATTCCACATTTTTTCCTTTTGTTCCTTACATACTTGTATGATCTTACCTGACCAGTAATACATATATATATATATTTTTTTTTTCCCTCTTGACCCCATGCTACCACCTGATTTTCTGGAAATCAGAGAGATGTGGTAGTAAATAATACTGTTCACATGGTCATTTGAGATCAACATGAGCACAAAACTCAACTAGGTCTGCCTGGAATGTATATAAAATGGTGTAAATAAAAATTTGTAAATTAGTGTGAATTGTATCTTGCATATGAGATTGTGTATTGTTTTGCTTTCTCTTTTGTAGTTTTTTTTTTTTTTTTTTGTAAGCAAATGATTCAGCTCTTTGGTTTTAGACTGGAAATAGCCAAAAGTTCCGGCTGCACAGTGGGATAACAAGAGGAACTGGAAAAATAGGGTTTATCAGTTTTTGTTAATGTCAGTACTTATTTATTTAGCCTCTCAGTGCCTAATATGACTTCTCTTCATTCTTTAGTTGGCCATTAGTTTTTGTGAGATTAGGTTCCTATAAGCAGTAAATTAATACACTGCTAAAGCTCCTTTCTTTGAGTCATGATTCTAAGCTAAAGCAAATTAAAAACATAATGTGATGATTGCAGACTGAAGTATTAGCCTTTCCTATTTTCAAGGTTGTTAACTTTTTTCCTACAAAGAAGAAAAAACCTTGAAATTTTACATGTCTCTGTGTGAATCTAAATCCCATATATATGAGATATGGTAATAGCTCTTGGTTCAACTTAAGCATATCTCATTTGGCTTCTCTAAATATGAAGTTGTTCATTAGGGGATTGTAAAAGAAAAGACGTAAGTCATGAGTAATCTTTTAATGACTGCTATTTTCATCTTTGCTGAACTACAAATATTTATTTCAGCTTATAAATATGTTACTGAGCTTCCAGATTTAAAGGAAAAAAATTCCCCCAAGCACTCTCAATTAAAAATTAAAAACCTTCACTTTATATAGATTTTCCTTTTTTATATTACACAAAGATTTCTGTATCATTTTTAATTCCTTCATAATAAGAATGAGAATACTATCAGTTTGATTTTCTGCTTTAAATTGCTTTTAATAAGCATTTTAGATGCATTCCAAAGTGATAGAGACTTAAGCTTCTAATATTAATCAGTCATTCAGTTGATAGACAAAGTTACCAATGCTTTATGCTAGGAGGAGAGTTTTGTTATTGGCAGCAGCTTAAACTACTTTCCTCAAAAGGCAAACACAAGTAATTATTATGCACAAAGGAAATGAATTATAAGTATGTGGTAAAGCAGCTTTCTCTTTATTTCAAAATTGATGTGCTCTGATTTTTCTTCCTTAGTTCATTAGATTTAGAATGTCCTTTGACTGGAAACTTAGTTACATATTAAAGCAATCTGTTTGACTTTTCTTTCTTTCTTTTTTTTTTTTTAAAAGATGTTAGTTATATTGAACCACCTTTTTTTCCCAGTTATATATCGCTTGTGTGATTACAGTGTTATGTCTTGGGTTTGATGTTTTTGGACAGAAAAGCGTATCAGTTATTTTAAATGATATTTTTTCCCCCCATCTTTGAAGCTTAGTCTATAAATGTGTTTATATAAAAGAAAATGCTGGGGTTTGCATTACTTGAATACTTGAAAACTGAAATTAGTAAGGTATTTTACATAATGAATTAGATTTTTCTTTTTTTTTTTGAATTAGATTTTTCTGAATACAGTCTTTAAACAAACAACTTTCATTTCTGGATCATAATTTGAAATAGAAGGTTTCAACTCTTTGAATGGGAAAAAATGACAGGCTTATAGAAAAATACCCTTTTGTGATTCAGGCATCCCAAATTCAACTTTTTTGTAGGTTTCTGTCCTAAAACCTGCTTTCTCTTTTCTCCTGTACTTAATGCACTTACTATGCTATAGATGTTATCAAACAGCAGGTTAAAATAAAATCTCTGTTCATTATGAATCTTTCAGCTTTTCTAGTTATGAAAAATTGCTCTGTAAAATACTCTTAATCCCTAAATATAGGCATATTTTTGTTTACATCTTACCCATTAATGGTATAAATACCATTAATCATTTTAACAAAACACAAGATGTTTATAAAAATTGAAAACATTACATGTTGTATTTCAACTAGTTAGTGAAGGGTAAGAAGAAGCTGGCTGATTTGAATTGTTTCATTAGTTAAATTTCAAAACTCTTTAATAAAGGAATTTTCAGAGATAGGTTGAGACCCAGTAGTATCCATTAAACTAGCTTTTATGACCTGGAGAAAATGCCCAAAAAGCAATAGAGGAGACGAGAAGATTTACTTGCCATGGTGTGGTGTGCTACTACTTCAATTTAGGTAGTGACACACTGAAATTTTTATTGTCCAGTAATCTGAAGAAATTCCCTGTTGTTTATATGTACTAAACTAACTATAAATTGGTGGAATCTGCTAAGAGGAACCTTTTTACAGCTGGGTGAAGTTTCCATGATATGAAGTATTTGAATTTTAAAATATACTGTTATCCTAAGAAATAAGACATGGCATTATTCCATGTTCTCAAGTGATAATTTCCTTATTGAGTTTCAGAAGAAAAAAACAAAATGAGTAATTGTCACTGCGTTAGCTGTATGTTGAATTGGAAAATTGTGGCATAAAGCTTAAATTTGTGTTTATCAAATGTGAACCATAGTAGTATAATGCTGCTTTGTATATACTGTAAGTGCTACACATAGTCTCAGCACTGAAATGTATTGATACCTCTCAAATGAATGCAAATTTTGATGTAGGTGTTTTGATATGCCTCAGAAAGTATCTGAGTGTCTGAGAACTTGTTAATGGAGATACTTCCTGTTTTTCGTTGCATATTTTCATGTTTAAAATCTAATTTTTACATTTTTACTACTGTTAATTTAAGTGTAAAATTTGTTCTGTGGATGAAAATGAGGTTGCCAGTGAAGAAAACTAAAACAGCCTCATTCATGTAACTGCTTAGTAAAAATACATTTTTGCTGTATGTTCATAAACTTTTAATGAAGTTGTTTGTATTTCTGTTTGAATATAAGTGATGTTTAGGCTTTATTTCTGTTTAATAAGGCCTTTCACCATTGATTAAATGAAGGAATGTATCTTTTTGAAGAGATTTATATTCTGTAAATAAAAATTGGTTGTAACAATAAAGTTGGGTTCTAACTGCAGTGTACCATAAATCTTGTTGTTATTTCAACTTATTTTGGTGGTTTTTCTCTTTTGAGGGGGCAGAAAACAAGACTTTTCAAAGTGTATAACTATGTATTTGAAGTGATTATTATTTTTTTATTAACATACATTATTTGTTTCAGGGGTACAGGTCTGTGATTCATCAGTCTTACTCAATTCACAGTGCTCACCATATAGTACATACCCTCCCCAATGTCTATCACCCAGCCACCCCCTCCCTCCCACCCCCCTCCACTCCAGCAACCCTCAGTTTGTTTCCTGAGATTAAGAGTCTCTTATGGTTTGTCTCCCTGTCTGGTTTCGTCTTGTTTCCTTTTTCCCTCCCTTCCCCTATGATCCTCTGTCTTGTTTCTCAAATTCCTCATATCAGTGAGATCATATGATAACTTGTCTTTCTCTGATTGACTTATTTCACTTAGCATAATACCCTCTAGTTCCATCCGTATCCATTCCCACCAACAGTGTAGGAGGGTTCCCCTTTCCCGCATCCTTGCCAACATCTGTCTTTTCCTGACTTGTTAATTTTAGCCATTCCGACTGGGGTGAGGTGGTATCCCATTGAGGTTTTGAGTTGGAATTCCCTGATGCCGAGCGATGTTGAGCACTTTTTCATGTGTCTATTGGCCATTCGGATGTCTTTGGAAAAATGTCAGTTCATGTCTTCTGCCCATTTCTTGATTGGATCATTTGTTTTTTGGGTGTTGAGTTTGATAAGTTCTTTAGATTTTGGATACTAGCCCTTTATCTGATATATCATTTGCAAATATCTTCTCCCATTCTGTTGGTTGTCTTTTGGTTTTGTTGACTTGTTTCTTTTGCTGTGCAAAAGCTTTTTATCTTGATGAAGTCTCAATAGTTCATTTTTGCCCTTGCTTAAGCCCCTTGCCTTTGGCGATGTTTCTAGGAAGAAGTTGCTGCAGCTGAGGTCGAAGAGGTTGCTGCCTGTGTTCTCCTTTAGGATTTTGATGGGCTCCTGTCTCACATTTAGGTATTTAACCATTTGGAGTCTATATTTGTGTGTGGTGTAAGGAAATGGTCCAGTTTCATTCTTCTGCATGTGGCTATCCAATTTTCCCAACACCATTTGTTGAAGAGACTGTCTTTTTTCCATTGGTCATTCTTTCCTGTGAAGTGATTATTTAAATCTATAATTCTCTGGTTTTATATAGTGTTAAAAAGTTTTGAAAAAAGTTTGCAGTCAGAAACTTATTTGAGATGAGAGTGGAATATTATGTAACTCAGTAAACAAATTCTATTTATTTAGTTTAAAAATTCATTATTCTTCTAACCACTGTACTTTGTATCTTCACTGTGATTAGGGCCAAAAACAGATAAACTCTCCGGGATTTAGCATCTTAGTCTAGGCAGGGAGTATCCATTCAATCAGCATTTATTAAGTTTTAATTATCAGGTAATGTGATAGATGGTGGAGATACAAAGATATAATCTCTACCATCAGATAATCATGAAGATTAATTCTCCATAACAAAAATAGCTCTGTGTGTGTGTGTGTGTGTGTGTGTGACAAAATGTTTTCCAATTTAGGTTTATCTAGTGTTCTCTCTTTTTTTTTTTTTTAAGATTTTATTTATTTATTTGAAAGAGAGAGATTGAGAGACAGAGAGCATGAGAAGGAGGAAGGTCAGAGGGAGAAGCAGACGCCCTGCCGAGCAGGGAGCCCGACATGGGACTCGATCCCGGGACTCCAGGATCATGACCCGAGCCGAAGGCAGTCGCCCAACCAACTGAGCCACCCAGGCGCCCTATCTAGTGTTCTCTAGATAAATTTCTATTAGAATGAGGTTATGTGTCGCCAGCCGAAATACTACAAAAGTGTTGTGTCTTTATGAGGGTATCACATCTGAGGAACTCATTGTTGATGTTGATTTTGATCACTTGGTCAAAGTATTGTTCTGCGTCTTTACCTTGTAGTGTTTATTTTTCCCCTTATGGGGAAATAAGCAATCTCTGGAGAGAGAGAAACTTTTAAGATTAAGTATCTTGCTTGTCAAACATCCCATTTCCCTCCCCTGACTTAGCAACACTTGATAATTGTCTAAACCCATCTTTATGATGGCTGCAAAATATCATTTTTCAGTTCTGTTACATGATACACATATATCAGCATTTTATTGTAAGGAATCCTCTGTATGTGTGTGTATCTATATCATCTACCATTCATGTGACCGTATTTTAAGTATAGACTTTTAGGCTTCTAGTTTATTTAGTGGATTATAATCTGTTACTGTACTTATTTACATTGATGTTAAAATGTCTGAGATTTGGCTTGGGGGAGCCCCATCAGATCTGGCTCCTTCTGATGTACCAGAACATGTTTTGAGCACTTTATTACTTTATAGTAAAATAAGATGCTCCAGACTAATTTTGGAACCTTCCAGAGCCTTGGAATCAGCCATTTTTCCAAGGAACTTTTTTTTTTTGAAAATGGTATTTAGAAACTTAAATCTGAGAACTAGGTAAGCTCATTAGTTCTGGGATATCACATCCTAGGCCCTTTTAGCTGGCAGAGCAAGAAAACATTTATATGTAATATATTTTAGAAATTGTGAGTACATACACTTCAGTTTGCCTCTCCCATTTCGTATTTTTTTCTCCCTTTACTCTGATGATACATATTTTGTTAAGAATACTATAGAATTAATGTGCCCTTTTCATTCATTGTATTACATGAGGTATGAAATGTTAATATGTTTTACTAGTGATTTTAACCTTAGTCATTTGATTAAAGTGGTGTCTGCCAAGTTTCTCCCCATCTTCTTTTTTTTTTTTTTAAAGATTTTATTTATTAGTGTGCCCTCGAGCTCTAGTACGGGGAGAGGGGAGGGAGCAGAGCGGGGAGAAGCAGACTCCCCGCTGAGCAGGGAGCTGTATGGGGGCTCATCTCAGGACTCTGGGATCATGACCTTAGCTGAAGGCAGACGCTTAACTGACTGAGCCACCCAGGCGTCCCTCCCATTTTCTACTTTTAATTAATAAGCATCTTGTGGGAGGAGATACTCTGAAACTAGGTGATTTTTGTGCTATTCTAGCATCCATTAGCAGTTTTTGCTTGCAGCAGTTATTGTGATGTTTGCCTGTTGCTGATATTCTATTTCTCTCTTTCCTTCTACTTTCTTTCAATTTTAATTCTAAAATTGAAATTTTATTGTAGGGAAGAGCTATATTCCTTCAGTTTGCTTATTTACTCATCTATATCAGAACACAAGGATATTTAATTCTGTAGGTTGTAATCTTATTACATTGTGTTGCTCACTTTGTCACAGTTTGGTGATTGAGTGAGAGCTCCTTTAAGTTGGCTGCTGTATCCTTTCAATATGTTCGTATTGTTTCTTTTTTTTATTTTTTATTTTTTATTATTATTTTTGTTCGTATTGTTTCTTGAGCACTTCCTTTTCTGGCAACATAAGGTTTTCCAGGCTAGGCTTGTACCTTCCCTGCCCCAACCCTCAATTCAATTATTTCTTCAAGGAGCCCTGACTTTATAGAGAATGAGATTTAGAAACTAAGATCTGGGTGCCAGGTGTGCTCATTGTTACAGGGTGTTACTGCTTCTATATTCTGTCAGGTGACAGTATCAGGAAGTTTTATATGTATATTAGGTATTAATATATATATTATATAATATATATGTATTATGACTTCATTTTGAAATCATTTAAGACAGAAAAGTCACAAGAATAGTTCAGTGTACTGCCATATACCCTTATTCAAACTCCCTCAACATTTCACTTCCTTTTCTTTATCTTTTTCTCTTTATTTTTGTGAATTATTTGAGAGCAGTTTGCACACATCAATCTCATTTACCCCTCAGTACTTGTATTTCCTAGGAACACTGTCTTCTCACCTCCATTTTTTCCTATGTATGTAGTGTGTGGTTTTTTTCTGGCTCTTTTTTTCCTTTCTCCTCTTTCCCTCCCTCTTCCCTTCCTCTCTTTCTTCCTTTCCCTTCCTTCCCTCCTTCCTAGCACAAGCAGGAGGGGGAGTGGCAGGCAGAGGGAGAGGGAGAAGCAAGGTTCCCTGTTGAGTGGAAAGCCTACATGGGGCTTGATCCCAGGACCCTGGGATCATGACCTGAGCCAAACGCAGACAGTTAACTGACTGAGCCATCCAGGTGCCCCTTTTCTGGCTGTTTTCAAGATTTTTTTCTCTTTAGTTGGTTTTCAGCGATTTGATTATGATGTATTTAAATGTGCATCCTTTGTATTATCCTGCTTAGGTTTTGACCTTTTTCAATCTGTAAATTTGTCTTTTATCAAATTTTGGGGAAATTTCTGCCATTTTCTTAAGTATATATTCTGACCCATTCTCTTTTCTCTGTGAGTCTCCAGAGACTGATATTGTTTGACAGGTCACTAATGTTCTATTCATTTTTTCCCCAATATCTACTTTCTTTTTTTCAGGTTTGGAATATTTCTATTGGTCTGTCGTCTTATTTCACTGACATTTTCTCCCATCTCATTTCCAAACTGCTGTTATGCCTATCCAGTGACTTTTTTCATTTTAGTATTCTTATTTTCAGTTCTGACTCTCCATTTGATTTTTTTTTTTTTTTAAGATTTTATTTATTTATTTGATAGAGAGAGAGACAGCGAGAGAGGGAACACAAGCAGGGGGAGTGGGGGAGGGAGAAGCAGGCTTCCCGCAGAGCAGGAAGCCCGATGCGGGGCTCGATCCCAGGACTCCGGGATCATGACCCGAGCCGAAGGCAGACGCTTAACGACTGAGCCACCCAGGCGCCCCTCCGTTTGATTATTTTTAAAGTTTCTATTTCTTTCCTGAGATTCCCTATTGATCATGTGCAGAGTCCTCTTTATGTCTTTGAGTATAGCTGTAATAGCAGCTTTAAAATCCTCGTCCACTGATTTCAACAACTGAGTCATCTCAGGGACTATCTGTTGTTTAGGTTTCTTTTGAGTGTGGCTCATATTTTCTTGTTTCTTTGTATGTCTAGTAGTTT